ACAAATTATATTTGTTATAGTGGCACAATGGAACTGAGTTAAGTATATTCAGGTGTTAATATTAAACACAAGGATTACTTGCTTATTGTAACCAATTTCATTGAAATTGAAAATCTGTCTCAACTCAATTTATCTAAATCAGGATTTCAAACAAGAGGAAAGCATTTAATATAAGCCTTATGATTTTATGCTATAAGAGGTAATAATTTATCACCTTTAAGTTTTGTATATTTTTATCTCTATTTTCATCCTAAGATTATAGCTTTTTAAAAATCAAAAATGTTTCTAGCCAAAGTGATTTTAACTAAATAGTGCTGTCTAAAATGTAAAGACATAAAATTACACTTCAAAATTTGTTACTGAAATTCTAAAAACAGAAAAAAAATTCTTGCAACAAAAACTCATTAAAGCATTATTTGACCTTGAGATCATTACCAATAAGGCCTTTATATTTCTCCACATTACCACCTAGCTTTTTAGGCATTATTGTCTTAAAACAACTTATTCTTAAAGTTCAAAACTGAGTATATTAAAGGTTGAAAAATTGTACAATATAATAAATGTTGATACTCCTCAACTTAGAATGGTGTTACATCCTGATTAACTCATGATAAATTAAAATTATTTTAAGTTGAACATGCATTTAATATACCAACCTATCATATATCATAGCTTAGCAGAACAGTACTCTGTAGTATAGTGATTGCTTACTTTGTTAATCACAATGCCAATTGGATGCGGTTAACTGCTGTTACCCAATACCATAAAAGTAGTCTACCATGTATTTCTAGTTGCAGAAAAAAGATTAAAGTACAATTTCTACTGAATACATATCACTTTCATACTACTGTAAAGTAAAAAAATCAAAAATTTAGAGACTGTCTCATAATTTAGAGACTGTCTTCTTAAAGGAATTAAACAAGTCAATCCTCTTAACTCTAAGTATAAATATAGTTTTTACAGATTTTATTGCATTTTCTGCCAATCATTTTTCCATAGTTATATAGTAACAGTTATGATAGTTTTATAGTTATATATCCAATTAAACTTCTATTCCTCTTTATGATTTGTTTACATTGTTAAATGTACTAGATTCATATATTTTAGAAGCTCACATGTCATCTTTTTACATTTGCTTATGGATAAGTAATACTTAGTAATTGATTATATTTTTTACTAAAATAAGTCATGACTTAGTTTGGTTTTTAGATCTTCCTGAATTTTATAATTTTGAAGATGGAGAGTCTATCTTTTCATGCACTGTGAAACAGAGTCTCAGAGAGCCCCAAAAGTTATGTAGAAAACTTTCAGTTTGGAGAATGAGGGATACAGACAAGCATGGAAGTAATTGCATCTAATTTCTTGCATAGATGTTTTATGAATAGGATGCATGGTACTTTGGTTTGCCAAATTTGAATGCAGTGCTTTTAAGACGTGCGGCTCTATCCTCTCAGATTCTAAACACATTAGCAGGTATCAACACAAATTCTAATTTATGAATAAAAATGAGTTAAACAATACTTTAAAATAAAATTGAAAACTAGATTAATAATAAAAATTCTGAATTTAAGTGCACATTTTAATGAAATTAAGAGTATCTCTTAATACAAGCGGGATATTCCAGGTGACCATCAATACACCTTGTACGAAATGATTGATTTCGCGTTGATGGAGAATATCCATATTTACACACAAATTCAACTGTGTCCCCTGATGAAGAATAAAGCTTTTGACGTTCTTTCCATCTTAAGGTTATGTGATATCTTTCCATGATTTCTTCTGATATTACACATGCATCTGAAAGAAATAAATGAGTATAATATATTAAGTTAGATATGAGTCTTTTACCAAGACTTTGGAGTTTTCAAGTAGAATGTTTTTAATATTTCAGAAATTCTTCCTGAAAACTCTTCCTGAACAAATTCTGTGTGAATACCAGATAGATTAAAATAAAGTTAAAGTAGTAAATGATGTAAGAATTAGGTGGTTAATTTGTGATAATTATATTTTATTACCAATTCTTAAGATCATTTATCATATTAAGAGCTTGGCATTTTAGAGTGTAAAACCATTATGGTATCATGGCTGATCTTGTTTTTCTTTTTTGGACTGGAGATTGAAACCAGGGGCACTTTATCCCTGAACTACATCCACATTCCTTTCTTTTATTATTATTGTTAGACAAGGTCTCATTAAATTATTGAGACTTGCCTTAAAATAGTGATCATCCTGCCTCAGGATCCCATGTTTCTGGGATTACAAGAGTGCACTATCATGACTGGCTGGTTTTTCTTTAATTAAAATATTGGTCAAAAGCCTAGGGATATAGCTCTGTTGGTAGAGTTCTTGCCTTACATGCACAAGCCCTGTGTTCCATCTCCAGCCTCACAAAAAAAAAAAAAAAGAAAGAAAAGAAATATTGGTCAAATGCTACAAATTTTCAGTTATATAATGTATAAGATAGAGAGGGTGTCACATACATAAGCAGTATAAAAGACTAATGAAACTGCTGGGAGTCGCCCCGGCTCAAAAGACTAACTTCCCCATCCCCTGAGAAGAGCCGTACAATGGTGAGCCGTGCTGGCTCACATGATCCTTACCCACCAATCAGACTTAGCCCTGCTGGCTCACATGATCCTTACCCACCAATTAGACTAGCCCTGCTGGCTCACATGATCCTTACCCACCAATCAGACTAGCCTGCTGGCTCACATGATCCTTACCCACCAATCAGACTAGCCCTGCTGACCCACATGATCCTTACCCACCAATCAGAAAGCACCCCATGCCAACTGTCAAACCCTTCAACCTTTAAACTGTCATAATTGTCAAACCACCCCCGGCTCTATAAATATGCAGAGCTGTTCCTCAATAAACGGGCATTTTCTCTGACGACAAGCCTTGTTCATTCTTTCAGAAACAAAAAGTTGGTTATCGTAAAAGGTAAGAACAATGAACATACCTTTAATAAGACTAACCAAGAAAAAGAGATGACTCAAACAAAATAAGAGATGGAAAAAAAAAGACATTACAACCAATACCTCAGAAATACAAAGAGTCATTAGGGATTATTATGAGAAAATGTATGCCAACAAATTAGAGAACCTAGAAGGAATTTATAAATTTTTAGACACATAGATTCTGCCAAAATTAAACCATGAAAACATATAAACCAGAAGAGATCAATAATGAGTAATGAGATTGAATCAGTAATAAAAAGTTGAGGAAAGCCCATGACTAGATGCCTTTACTGATTAATTTTTTGAAATCTTTAAAGAAGAACTAATTCAATTTCTTTTAAATTTGTTGTGAAGATTTGAAAGAGAGAGAATCATTCCCAGCCCATTCCTTGAGGCTAGCATTACCCTGGTACCATAGCAACAAGAACACAAGATAAAAGAAACTGTAGACTAATAACCTGATGGACATGGATGTACAATTTCTCAATAAAATATGAGTAAATCTGAATGTGATTCAACAGAGAATCATAAAAACTATTCACCATAATCAAATTGGTTCCATCCCAGAGATGCAAGGATGGTTCAACATATTCAGATCAATAAACATAATACATCCCATTAACAGAATGAAGGATAAAAATCATGTGATTAATAGATATAGAAAATGCATTTGAATAATTTCAATATCACTTCCTGATAAAAGTCCTGAGCAAATAAGGTTTGGGAAGATCATACCTCAGCATCATAAAGACCATACAAGACATAGCCATAGGCAATATACTGGAAATGAGAAAAGTTGAAAACATTTCCTCTAATATCAGGAACAAGGGTATCTATTCTCCCTGCTCTTATTCAGTAAAGTACCAGAAATTTTAGTCAGAATAGCGAAATAAGAGAAATAAAGGGCATACAAATTGAAAGGAGAGAAGTCAAATTATTTGTGTCTGCAGATGATATGTTTATATATATATATATATATATAATAAAACCCAAAGATTCCACCAAAAGACTATTAGAATGGATAAAGTCATTAAGGTAGCAAGATACAAATCAATATACAAAAATCAGTGAGATTTTTATACACCAATAATGAATGTGCTGAGAACCAAATAGTAAAAACAATCTCATTCACTAATCTTTACAACAGCAAACAAAACAGCAAAGAACAAAAGACATCTACCACACACTGATTAAGGAAATTGAAGAAGATACAAAATAAATAAGAAACTTTCCATGCTCATGGATCGGAAGAATTAGTGCTGGTAATAATACCTTAAGCATATATTCCTTCAGCAATAATACCTTAAGCAATTTACAGATTAAAAGCCATTCCCATTAAAATATGAAAGATATTCCTCACAGAACTAGAGAAGAAAATTCTAAAATTCATATGGAAGCACGAAAGACCCTGAAGAGCTAATGAAATCTTGAGAAAAAAATAAATACACAAAGGCTGTAAGCATCACAATAACTTATTTCAAGACATACTACAGTACCATAGCAACCAAAACAGCATAGTATTTGCATAAGAATAGATACAATGACCAATGCTACAGAATAGAGACACACTCTCCTTCTCTCTCTCTCTCTCTCTCTCTCTCTCTGTATGTGTGGTATACATATATATGTGTATTTATAGATAGATAGATATAGATATATCCATGCATCTATATCTGCTGATTCTTAACAAAGTTTCCAAAAAAGTTTCCAAAAAGAAAACATTGGATAAAGGACCACCTCTTCAATAGATGATGCTAAAAATGGATATCCACATACAGATGATTGAATCTTGATTGCTCTTTCCATGTACAAAATTAAATTCAAAATGCACACAGGCTTAAATGTAAAACCTGAAAACTCTAAAACTACTAGGAGAAAATATGGAGAAATAAGAAACTGGTTCAAGCAACAATTTTCTGGATAGAACCACAAAAACACAAGAAACAAAAGCAAAAATTGACAAAGTTGATATATTAAATTGAAAAACCTTCTGCACAGCTAAAGAAACAGTCAACAGAATGAGACGAGCCATGGAATGGGAAAAAGACTTGCCAGCTATGCGTCTCACAAAGGGTTAATACCTAGAATGTATAATGACCTCAAAAAAACTAAAAACAAGTAATCCAATTAAACACTGGACAAATGATTTGTGAATAGACATATCTCAAAGAAGTACAAACAGTCAAAAATACATGAAAAAAAAAAACCCACTCAATATCATTAGCCATCAGGGAAATCAAGATGAAAACTACAATGAGATACCATATTGCTCCAGTTAGAAGGTCTATTATTAACAATAAGCCCTAAAATTAATAAATGTTTGTGATGATGTGAGAGAAAAAGAACACTTACACTCTCTTGGTGGGAATTTAAATTGGTACGATCATTATAGAGAGCAGAAGTTTTCTCAAAAAACTTAAATTAGATATGCTCTATGACCCAGCTATCCTCCTTCTGGGTACATATCCACAGGAAAAGAAATCAGCATACCAAAGGGATATCTGCATGCCCATGCAGTGTTATTCACAGTAGCTAAGATACTGAATGAGAACATGTGTTTATCAATAGATGAGGAGATAAAGACAATGTAGTATATTTACACAAGGGAATATTATTCTGCTACAAAGAAGAATTGGCTCTTGACATTTACAGCAAAATGGATAGAACTGGAGGACATTATGTTAAGCAAAATAGGCCAGACACAGAAAGATAAGACCCATATATTCTCTCTCATATCTGGAATATTAAAAAGGGTGACCTGAATGTAGAATAGTGACCAATAGAGGTTGAGAAGGGATATAGGGTGGGTAAATAGAGGTTGGATATGATCATGCTGAGTGTATGCATATATAGAAATATCACACTGACTCCCATTAATAAGGGCAACTATTACATGCTAATAAAAAATTTAAATATATATATAATTGTATTTATTAATTATTTTAAAATAAAAGTAACTTATTAATCTTTATTTCCTCACACATGAATATTTGGTAGAGAAGCATTCCACAGAATATTTATTTTTTAATATGTGAATTATTGCTATTTTACACAGAAAAGTATCATACTCAAGGCGCTGATTTTCCCAGGTCCCATGAGATTACTGAAGTACTTACATAAACATTTTGGCGGGTTTGACCACTTTCCATTTCTACATATTACTGTCTTGCTACCCTCAAGTTGATATAAGGATTGGCACTGATATTCAACTGATGAGCCCGTAGGATATACTGGTAATGGGAATGAAGTGAGGTCTCCATTGTCAATAGGTGAAGGAGGCCCACATTTTCCTGTGGAATTTGGAAAAATATCATTTCATTTATGAGAGAACAAATCAAAATACAGGATAAAATTAAAGCCAGCACAAACATCACTCTAGATAGCATCAAGATTTCATGATTTCTGGTAACAAATGATTGCTCACAGAAATCTTAATCATAGAAAATGAGAGTTACATTTTAAGCTCTTCTTTTCATCTCACTGAAGGCGCATATAAACCATCAACAAATGTGTCTGCTTTATAGTGATTCAATACTAAAAAATGTGTCAATATATAAATGCTGAACAGGTAGATAGTGAGGACAAACTAAGAAAGTTTCTTATTATATAGGACATTACACAGTATTTATTGTGTCCCTTCTGACTTCTTTTTAATTTTCCTTTTTATTCCAAAAGAAATAAAGACTCCTTGAAAAAAGTTCAAAGGAAGTAAATTTGTAGAAAATAATAGGGAAATATTGTCTTCCTAATCTGGACAAGATGAGTAAAAATCATTGTCACCTATTCCTTTTTTTCAGGTTTTGTATGTTGGAGTTTTTTAAAAATATTGATTTGTTATATATGACAGCAGAATACATTACAATTCATATGACACATATAGAGAATAATTTTTCATATCTCTATATACAAAGTAGAGTCACACCATTCTTGTCTTCATACATGTACTTAGGGTAATGATGTCCATCTCTTTCCACTGTCTTTCCTATCCCCAAGACCCCTCCCTTCCCCTTTTGCTAAGCATTATTTATAATCTTGGACATAATAAATTTTAAATGCCAATATAAGAAGACTCTAGAAGGTACAGAGAATTCACTCTGGCTAGGAACTTCAGGACTCAAGGAATGGCAAATAGGTTGTTATATGAGGTCACTTTTGGGCTCTTGTGTGTTCTAGATGGAGCACTGGAGAAGGTTGGTAATCTCAGAAATGATATCAGGTAGAGATAAATAAGGAAAAGCTCATGCAGAGTCTCATCCCTTTAACCTAAGGACAAGGAAGGGAGCGGCCTTGCTAGTCTAAGAGATCTTTAAAACAATACATGACCTAATCTAGAGAAAATCATAAAAACATCATAAGGCACTGATGACCAGAGACCACCCACATATAGGGGTGGCAGAACAGATACTGTATGCCTGTAGAGGCTGAATGAGAAACCTGGACTTAAATCCAGCATGGCTGTAATGGAGAACTACTGAACAGGAAATTTAAATAAAATGGGGGAGTCTCAAATGTAATACCTAAAATATCAAGTGTAAAATTAAAAATTACTCATCAATTTAAGGATCAGAAACATTAACAAACAAAAAAGATAATAAAAGAGAATACTGATGTGATAAAGATATTGATAGTCAATGTTTCTTAAAAGCTCAGTAGGGTTTAGAACAGATAAATATAACAAATTAAAAACAAAACAAAATGTCTCACTGTACAGACTGAACAGTTTGAGGATGACAGAAGGATAAATCCATGCACTTCAAGATATAACAACATAAATTACCCAGTGTGAAAATAGACTGAAAAAATCAATCAATGAATCAAACTTCAGAGACCTTTAGAGGAAAAGAAAATGTTGGAGAAAGAAGGAAGAAAGGATAATTGAGTTATCAAACAAATGAACAAACTAAGGAGGAAAAAGTCTATTATATTATATATTCTTCCTTTTAGCAATTAAGTATCATTTTCTCGCCCCTGTAATTGCTAAAAGGAAGAATATATAATATAATAGACTTTTTCCTCCTCAGTTTGTTCATTTATGTTTATTTATGTTTGATGTTTGAAAGAAAATTATATCATTTGGTAACAATGTTCACTGCATGAACAGGAAATACTAAAGGGTAAATGGATTTAAATGGAAGCAAGCTTCTCATGTTTTGATCGAAAATGAAATGCCATTACTAGTAGAGTGGTAAGTTGCAAATATATTATGTATATATTGTAATTCCTAAAGCAACATTTTTAAAAAGAAAGGTAGTGGGATAAGCTATCATAGAGATACACTCAAAACCAGGAAGATAAATCAAAATGAAATTCTTTTAAACTGTTCCCTGAAAATAATGGAAGAGATCAGAAACAAGAATGAGAAATAGAGAAAATAAACAAATAAAACAAGAAACAAAAAGCCCAATATTTATTTTAAATATAAATGATCTAAATATACTAGAGGAAAGAGCAAGTAGGGCAAGATAGATATGTAAAGGAGACCTAATTCTGTGGTTTACATAAAACTGACTTCACCATTAGCCAAAGGTAGAATCAAAGTAAAGTGAGAGAAAATAAATTAGGAAAAATTAATTTTTAAAAATAGAAATGGATGATATAATATCTCCATTATTCATTTCCTGAATTCTGAATATTAGAATGCTGATGACCTAATATCCAAACTTATTTTTATAAATATAGTGATTCCCTGGCTGGCCTCAGTCACATATTTTCAAATATACTCTATATACTGAAGATGCCCAAATGTATATTTATATTCTATGATCAGTCTTCAATGACCTATTTTCTGTTTCTCAAAGTAGATATCTCTTGGAGTTGTCAAAATGTACTGAGTGTCTTAACGTTTAAGATGAGGAATTTTCTCAGATTGTAACTGTTCTATTAATCTGGTTAAATGTGTCTTGAAAAAAATACACCATATTTCTTAGTTCATTTTGCCAGAAAATAAATCTTTAGCAATATCATATTATTTGCATTTGAAAAAATATAATCCCTAAGAATGACTTGACTTTATTTTTATCAACATATTTTACTCACATTATGTCCTCAAGCAAAGAAAAATTAGAAAATATGATCTTCTACCTTTGCACTGAGGTGGCTCTGTCCAAGTTCCATTTAGACACATCACTTCTACTTCCCCAAATATTTCAAAAGGTTTGATACATTCATAACTTACTCTCTCACCAGATGGATACTTAAGCATCTGGTTTGATATTATATTAGCATTTTCCACTTTGGGTGGATTCACACAGGAAATATCTGAATAGAAAGAAAAGAAAGTATCTCCACCTAGTGTTCATTTTGAGTAGCTAAACAATGAATAAGATTCTGAATACATTTTAAATAGGATTGAAGATTAATAGATACTTTGTCATGAAGAACTTTTCTGATTTTAATAAATTCACATGTAATACAAGGAAAAGAAGATATAGCAATATTTTTTTGTCAGAGCTAACCTTTCATGCCTTTAAATCTCTTCGCTATCCTTCACTAGAACACTGATAGATATTTTATCCCCTTAAAAGCCACTGAGAATGAAATATTTCCCCTTGAGTTGAGTACAACAAATATTACAAAGTCCATAAGTGCAACATGAATTTTAAAATTCAACAAAAAATAAGAGTAACAAGATTATATAGCATCACTCTTTGGTATACAATTATCTTGCTCTTTAATTAACATTTTAGCCTCTTAAAATAAAAACTGAAAGATGCATCTCTTTAGAGAATAAGTCAAGAATTAAAAACATAGTTTGAAGAATAATTTGTTATTCTTAAAACACAGCTTAAAGATGTTATGTACAACTATAATGCACCAATAAAAGCAAAAAAAAATAGTTAAGTAAATCTTTAAAAAAGAGGAAGATTATCAATTAAAAAACTAAAGATGTGGGAAAGTAACAGAAAAGTACAACTATATTTATAGAAACATAGCTTTTAAAATTTATTTATAAGTGCTTTTGGATACTATGATAAACTATGTGTAATTCCTCAGAGAGTTTTAGGTGCATGGTTAGTAATAACAGACTATAGCAATGGTTCCCAAATTGAGGAGTATGTAAAATCCTTTGGGGAACTTGATGAATAATTTCAAGTCATATCTCAAGATTATTTTTTCCAGTAGGCCTAAGATGACCTCAGGAATTTTCATTTGAATTCATAAAAATCTGTTCAAAATTTGATGCTGCTGGTCTAGGGACCACACTCTGAGAACTCTTTGGTATACATTGAACTGTGAGATTAACCACTATATATTTAATTCCAACCTAAATAATTAGATTATTTCTAATCTTAAACTTACTTTGTCTTGGCCTGAAAATTAACCTATACTCATTTTTAAGAATGGTATAGAAAATTTAATATTTCATAAGACACTATACATAAATTTATAATGCCATCAACGTACCTTTGCACATTGGCTTTCCTATCCATTTGCCATTAATACATGTTATAGTATTGGACCCTTCCACTTGGTAAAATTCTGGACATCTGTAAGTCACTTGATCTCCTGACTTATATGATTCTTTCCTTTCTCCTAAAAGCGTGGCATCATCAAAGTTGGGTAAATTAAAACAATCTGTTCCTGAAAGAAAAAAACATGTATTTGTTCACTAAATTAAAAAATATGTAATATTTAATAGTAATATTCTAAAATAATACTTAGCTACCTATAGAACCAATGAATAATGAATAATATACTTCTTACACCTTGACAAAATATGATGTTTTGACTTCAATTGAACTGTTCTAAATTTATCAAACATATAAGATAGGAATGATGCTTGAAGAAATATTAGTAGTTCTAATGCTTTAGATCAGATTTTTACATTCAAATTATTTTTTTGCCCACACTTGCCACATGTAAATTTATGTATTTCTACTTTTGGCTTCTGCAAATGTGAATTACTTACAATAATTATTTCAAAGTTTTATGAAATATGTATTTTGTAGTGAGATTGGTGATGAACTGAGCATGAGATGGATGAGTAGGGGCCAGTTTTTCTAGGAACAGAGAGAGATAAGAATTCTGAGAATGTACATTAGAGGATGCTAAATGTTCACACAAAATGATGTGACAATGAAACAATTTGGCTCTTACTGTCAAACATTTTTTAATTACTAGGTTATAATTCTCTGCCAGACTCAAGAAACTTCAGGTACCTTGTAAAATTCTAGAATAACAGCTTACTTTTTTATTTGTACCACTTATACTTTGAATGAGGGAATCTATCACACATATTATAAAATTAAATACACTGTACTTATGCATTCTGGTGGGGAAGACCATTTTCCTCCTAAACATTTTATAAATGCAGGTCCATCAATCCCAAAATCTTCAGAACAATTGTAAATAACTTCTTGTCCATATGGGTAACTGTCTAACTCATGAGACACAACACCATTAGGAATGGAAGGTGGAGGTTCACAAGGAAGTCCTAAAAAATAAAATAATGAAAGAATGAATCCATGTTTTACAACTCAGAAATTCAATTTTATAGGTCAATTTTGATATTTCACAGTTTTTGAAAAGAAATAATAATAAATAAGCTATTATAAAGTCACAGAGAATGTGCATAAAGGCTTCTTAAGTCCACCTTTCTCATGTATGTCCACCTCTCATACTGTAAAAACATGAGCAAGAAATTGAAATAAAAAATGTTGATGCTTTTAAGAGATCACCAGAGCTTCTCTAATCAACCATGAGTGAAAAACAGAAACATACTCAGAATTAATAACATTGAATAAATTGATGAGATGGATTTACCAAGCATTGTAAGACATCAGAAGGAACACTGTAAGAAAAATATTTTTAAAATATTTAAAATCTTGTTTGCAAAGCAAACACTACAAGTTACATAAATTTAAATTCACTACATGTTATATTCTTTTAAAAAGAAATGCCAAATTAAAAACTGACTCTATAATGAACCAATAAAAGTAATAAAAATAGGATTGATTCAATAATGCAATAGTATTTTAATGGTAAAGTATTTAAATGATTAAATACATATGATAATCTATATTATTCTATACCCTGACTTTGACAAAAGCATATTATATTCAATTATTTGTACTCTCAATTATTTAAGTATTTGTATTCTCAAATCAGAATTCGAGTTTTCATGCAGTCCTCACCTACACACTGAGGTGGAGGACTCCATTTGCCCATGTAGCATGTTATCTCATCTTCCTCAGAGGTTGTGAAACCATCTTCACAACTATAATTCAGTTTAGTGCCATGTGCATACTGTCTGGATTCAATTGCTTCTTTCCTTTCTTCTGAAGATCTAGATGGACTAATTCTTCCATGGTCTATGTCAGGTGGTTGAGAACATGAAAGTTTTTCTGTATGAAAAACAGAAATCAAAGGGTCAAAGATAAATAAAATGTTTAAATTAAAACTAAAATCAAATACTATGTAAGCCTGTCATCAAAACATCTATGCTATCCTCTTGCCCAATATCTCCCTTGATTTGTGTCTCTTATATTACATGAAAAATATTCATAAATAGGAATTTATCTGCTAGTTACATAATATCCCAAAGTGTTGTCCAATTTTGTTGACAGAAATGAAAGATGGTGACTGGTTTATGAACCTAGATCATAACTTACAGTTTTAGGATCAAGTGTAATAGATAGAGAAATAGAAAAGGTCCTCATCTTTTTCATTTACATAAAGCAGAGGGGATTATTAACTTCAACTGAAAGCATGTTATAAAGCAAATTGCACAGTACTGACCAACACAGCGTGGTATTGACTGCCATCTTCCATTTTTGCACACAATTTCTTCGGCTTCCTTAATCAGATAATTTTCTTTGCAAAGAACAGATACTTTTTCTCCATCCTGATATTTCACTGTGGTTTTCATATCTTCAGCATTGGGAATCTGAGGTGGAGGTGGGCAGAAGTTTATCTCCACTTCTAGAAAATATTAAAATTAGATTTCTTGAATAAAAAATAGTAATTTACATATATTAAAATACTTTACAAAAAATAGAAAATTCAATAACTATGTATCACAAAATGATGATGTAATTATGTTCCATATTTATATATGTTATACTTTTCAATTTGGATGGCAGTTTAATATTACCTATTTTGATGGTCCTCCGATTTCTTCTTTTTTAAGCAAACTTATTTATTTACAAGAAACTTATTATTTGTAATCTTTAGATAATCTTAACTGATTAATACATTTTTAATCACAAGTATTAAATAAAGTATGCAATGAAGGTGATTTTAGAAATATACATGAACAAATGTATTGGGACTATAATAAAACCCTTTTGAAATCTACCAACAGAAGCTGATTAACAAGAGTAAAAATTTGCAGTCAGTTAACAAACAATTTGTATTGCTTCTAGATCATTAACCATAATTACAAATAATTTACAGTGTGCCATTTGAAGTTTCAACCTTCCTGAACTTACCATTTAGAAGCACACTCACATTGCCTAGGGGTATATAAATTGAGGGTATATATCCAGTTTAATGACTACACAGCTTAACTGTAGTTACACAATTAGTAGGGTATAAAATACACCTTTGCAAACTTATATCTCAGTTCCCATAAAGCTAAATTCCTCAGATGTATCTTGATGGTTTATAATGTGAAGATGAACTATGTCCCTTTTGACTGGGGGAGGGCTCTGGATGAATCTGAAAGCAATTGGACTTCTGATTTCTTGAGCTTGCTTTCTCCTATTTTACTGTATTTTTTAGTTCATTAAAAGCCTTAGGCAAGTGTACACTAGGAAATACTGTAAATCTTTTCAAATGTGTGTTATGCTGTTAATAGCTCCTGGAGATAGTTTACTGAATAAACTTGATTCATGATTATTATTTACTCCAAGGTTTCTGTTTTTGTTTAAGGCAATATAATCACATTTTATCAATAATGTTTTCTAATTTCTATTCTTAAATATTTTGACATATTTCTCAATGTTTTCATTATATATTTTCATAAATTTATTTTCCTCAATTATTAATAATGTTTAATTATTCTTCCTATTTTCCTTAAGTATGTTCTTTTTTGGCTTCTAGATTGTTTTATATATTGCCTTTATTTTGTTCTTTGTTTTCTAATGTATGTTTTAATGCTATAAGTATATCTGTATTAAATCTGTTCCATAGATTTCAGTTTATACTACAATTACTGTCATTTAATTTAGAGTAATTTTTGGTAGTAAATAATTGATAATGAAGTTGTTTGTTTTCCAATTTTCCAAATTTGCAAGATGAGCATTCAAGATATCTAGTTAGCACTTTCATTACTTTAATTTTTACTTTTAGTTTAGAGAAAATACTTTAGGAAGTTGATTATTTAAAATTCATCTAGATTTCCTTTATCACACAGATATGATTAGTTTTTTAATGACCTGGCTACCTTAAAAGTAGATAGTGTATACCTTAGGATAAGTGTCTAAAAACTTGGAAATAAATATTTTATAACTATAAAAGGGTTACTTCACAAGTCCAAACAAATGTTGAATATATGTCTAAAAATATCAAAATACCTAAAATATAGACAGAAATAAAGAAGAAAAAGGCAAATCCCTAATCCTACATATCAATATTAACACCATTCATGCTATGACTTACTGAAAAAATAGGTAAAGTTTTGAAACAATATGGATAAATTTGAAAACCACTATTCACTTTAACCTTATATTACAACTAGAATATATGCATATTTTAAAAAATATTTATTTTTTAGTTGTAGTTGAACACAATATCTTTATTTTATTTATTTTTTTTTTATGTGATGCTGAGCATCGAACCCAGGGCCTCACACACAAGTGCTCTACTGCTGAGCCACAACCCCAGTCCCATATATGCATATTTTTATGTGAAAATGGAGCTATAAATAAAATAGAGATACAGTCGAATTTTTTTTAAAAAAATCATAGTATTGAAATATTGCATAGTTTCCTGAGAACAGAATTAAATAACTACACAGTCTGATAAGAATAAGTTATCTACAGAAAATAAATATTTGGAAATGAAAGAGCACACTTCAAAATAATAATTGTTGATCTAAAGGACAAATCACAAGGAAAATCAGAATATATTTCAAAGGGAATACAAATCAATATATATAATATATATACATAATTTGAGTTTATAAATAAATACATTTTAAATAAAATAAAATACATAGTTAGATATTCATATACATATTTATATGTCTAACTGTGGGACACAGCTAAGGCAGGTCTTTAAAAAGTGGAAATTTGAAGTTTTTATTTCAAATGTATGATGATTGAAATTCACACATTAATTACTAACTTAAAATGGTCTATGAATTTAAGTGGTCTATGAATTTAGCTCAGTCATAAAATGCTTGCCTAGTGATGGAGGTGCAAGGCCCTGGATTATATCCCCAACACCATGCACAGAAAAAAATGAATAAAATAAAGGTGAATGGTAATAATAAAATTAAACTCAAAGTCTTTAGAAGGAAGAAAACAATAAACAGAAAATTGACAAAATTAAAAAGAGAGAAGAGAGAAAGTTAGCAAAGCTTAAATTTGAAACTTTAAAAATCTAAATCTGAATGAGAGAAAACGGATAAAATAGGGTGTTAAAGTTGGTTACTAAAATTATTAATAAAATTGAAAAAAAAACTGTTATGATTTGGCCCCAAACTTCCTATGTTGATGCAGAAATGTTCAGAGGTGAAATGATATGTGACAGCTCTATCCTAATCAAACCATTCCAGTTTGAGTGGACTAAATGGTAACTGTAGAAAGGTGGGGGAGGTGTGTCACTAGGAATATGCCCTAAAAGGATGTTCACCATCCCTGTGGCTCCCCACTCTTTGCTTCCAAGCTATCATGATTTAAGCAATTCTCCTCTGATATGATACCCTGCCTCATCTCAGGCTCAGAGCAATGGATTTGGCCAACCATGAACTGAACCTCTGAAACTGTGAGCCCCAAATAAACTTTTCCTTCCCTAAGCTGTTCTCAGGTATTTTCATCACAGCAATGAAAAGCTGACTAACAGAAAAATGATAAAGAATCACGATAGAGGACAACATATCAAGAATGTAACAAAGGAGTGACAGATCAGGAATCCTCAATCCTCCTTTTCCCCATAGACACTGGTCAACAATACATGAACCAATTCTCTTTGAGAGAAATCTACAAAGTGGTTGAAAGGCTCTTAATGCCAGGTGAGCCCTAAACAAATGCATCAAAGCCAGTAGGAAAATTCATGTCTTTCCATATCCTCTCCCCCAGCACAGAGCTACACAACTGATAATAAAGTCCAGTTTCCAGACTTTTATTGGGCAAAGAAAGGAAGAGTGGAGCTTGTGTCAAATGCTCTGAATTTTCTGAAATTTTGTGTCAATTGTCTCAAAGTCATGATGCGATGGAATATACTTCAAATGCTCAAAGACATGCCCCCAGTGATGTGCCTCCTCCAGTCATATCTTACCTGTTTTTAGTCACATGCCTATATAAATTCTTTTTAAGCTGGAAGTATAGTACAGTACTTTTAGTCAGTAGTTTTTTCATATTAATAATCCATCAAATGGATTAATCCACTGATTAGATTACAGCTCTCATTACCTAATCATATCACCTCTGAACATTCCTGCATTTCACACACATGAGGTTTTTTTGGGACAACTTATCTAAAACATAAAAATAACCAATAAGCCAAAGAAGAAATCAAAAGAAAATTTAGATAGTATCTTGAGACACATGGAAATGAAAATATAACTTGCCCAAACATACAATTCAGCACAGTAGAACTGAGAATTACATCACATCATGTACGAGTAGAGTTTTTCCTCAAGAATGAAAGATTTAAGGGCTGCAGTTGTGGCTCAGAGGCAGAGCACTCGCCTAGCATACGTGAGGCACTGGGTTCAATCCTCAGCACCATATAAAAATAAAATATGTATCCATCTACAACTAAAAGCATAAATGTTTTTTAAAAAGAATGAAAGATTTAAGATTTTTATATGTATGTGTGCACACAAACATGTAAAATTCACTGTATTATCAATAAAGAAAATGTATTTAGCATTTATTCAACACCCCCCAATGATCAAAATTTCGCAGCTAACTAGGAACAGAAAGAAACCCCCTCAATTTGATAAACAGCACCTATGTAAATCCCAAAATAACATGACACTTATGGTAAAATATTGAATGAAGAGTGCTGAAATAAATCAGATACTTTCATAGTAATGGATTCTTTTTCATACATATTGCTTGAACAACTGGCTATCCATACAGAGAAAAAAAACAACTGCTACTTAATCTTGTACTCAAAATTAATATAAGGTGATAAAACTAAATTCTAGTACTATAAAGCTATAAAGCTTCAGGAAGAAAATGTAAAAGAACATGTGTTCTTCACTGCATGTAAATTGTTTCCTTTTAAAAAAATTATCTCAACATATATTATATATAATCAGAGATACGATAAATTATGATATAATTGTGTATTAAGAATTGTAATGCAAACATAAATAAATAAATAAATAAATATTACCAAAATAAAATAGAAAAAGAAAATTATCAAGTTAAAATATATGCCTTACATTTCTTTTTTAAATTGGTATGGCCATACTTCCTATATATTAGTATGGCAGAATTTCAAAACTATTGAAGCTAGTCCTTATAATCATAGAGAAAAAGATATAAAAAACTGAAAGACTAGAATGCTCTTTGCTATTCAATTGGAATTGCAAGTGTCAGTACAACCCAGAATTTTCAAGGCAGATAGAGACAAAAATTACCTTCCAACTTCAAAAGAAATTATATCAACACATAGCTAAATTTTTAAAAAACACAAAATACTACTTCTATAAGTGAGGAAAAATATAATGAATTTTAGAAAACATTGTACACAAGAACGTACTTGTGCAGGTTGGTTCAGGGTCCCATCGTCCATTGACACAGATTGAATGTTTCTGCTCCAACTTTCCCCTACATGGGTAACTGAAGTTAAAATTATGATTATATTCATTTTTATCTGATTGATTTGCTTCATTTGCAGTTAGTCTTGGTGCTTGACACTTCTCAAGTTGATCTGTTGCTATAAAATGAAAATATTTCCATGAAAAGACCAATTATAAGAATCAAGTCAATATAAAGTAGCTGTACAGTCAATGTCAAATGAAATTTTGATTTGTGCCTTTAAATTCTATCAACCAAATTATTCCTGGTCACACTGCATGAGATGGCATTTATGTCCTATCTTTGAACTATTATAGAGAATACCTGTCATAAAGATATTTTGTACTTTGGTAACTGAAAGAGCACAAGAGACTCATTTTCTCAGAAGATTTGCATACTAAATAGTTATCAAAGAACTAAATTTGGAAAAAATTTTAAAAACACTAGATTTGGTCCCATATTTGAAACCTGTGCAAAAGATTCATATTCATTTGTTTTCCTAATTGCAACCACCACTATATTATCTATAATCTAGAATCCTTAAATATTAAAATAAAAACATCATCTATGGAAATGTAATATAACAAGTTATTCATTTAAACATATTTTTGAGAGTAGTAACATAATATAATAAAATCTATCTAAAATATATTTTATAGGACATGAATAGTTAAGCAGATTTGTTATATGATCCGAGAGAGAGAGGAAATACTTGGAATAAGAAATTGTGTGCTTTCATTAGAAGTGTAGCTTGGTGGTAGAGGCTTGCCTGTCATTTCCAGGCTCTAAGTTCAATGCCTACATCATAAAAAGAAAAAGTAAAAAAGAAATCAGGTGCTTTAAAATCATAATCTCTCTTTTTCCATTCTTAGAGTCTTTAAGAAACTATTATGTATACCAGATCATACTATAATCAAATAATATTATAATACCATAACAACAAAATTTTGCTGACTCTGTTATGAGTTCAATAAGTACTACAGAAGCTTTCAATGTACCATATATTTCAATAACTCAGGGAAGATGAGAGTTCTTTTTGAAAATGATAAAATGTCTGTATTGGTCTCTGTAAATATTTGTTATTAACAATTTGAAAAGCAGAGTCAAGTGAGGATAAACAGAGCAAAGAAAAATCAGTAACTACCAAAGCACAGTAAGTTTGTAAACCAATCTTTAAAACAAAACAATGAAATGGGAAATTTAAAAGCACATGAGGTACTTGAGAATTAGTCTCATCCTTGGGGCTGGTCCACAGTGTTGAGAAAGGAAAAACAAGAGGTAGAAACTAAAGGAACATCTTTGGTCAAGGGAAACTGTTTGTGCCCTGGATTTGATCGGTTTCTGAAAGGATTTCTTTGGTTTTGGGAGTAAATAAATATATTGAGAAGCATGAAAAGCTAGAGTGGTGGAAAGTACAAAATGAATATTGAAAGGGTAGAATTATAGACCAAACTATGAGAGCTGGAAGGACTTATATGAAGCAGACTATAGGCAGTAAGCAGAAGATGACTCACAGGATGAAAAACTCTGAGATCAGAAGAAATAATAATTGTAGCACAACTTTGAGTTTAATTAAAATGAAAAGTTGAGAGTTTCTGCATGCCTAATATTAGTTTTCCTCCCATATGAAATCAGATAAAACCATTTGTGTATGAAAAAGGACAAGGATAAGGTGAGGTCCAAAAGGATTGAAGACACTTTATTCACAGAAATGTGTTTAGCAGAAAATGTTAAAAATCAACATAATTTATTGTTTCATTTGACAAAAACTTAATAAATGCTTCTGTATGTCAATCCATCCTAATGTCATGAGAACAAAACAAAGGTAATTCCTGTTCTGGAGGAACTCTACTCTGTTCTGAGATTAATTATGTCTAGAAATCCAATGAATAAATAAGACTGGATACCCAGGACAGACTTAAAATGAAGGACCCAGGGAAATCTAGGAAAAAACTCAGTCTAAGAGAAAAGTGAAGAATCTTTCCTTTGGTCATCAAAGGCTTGATCACCAACAGGGAAAGTGTGAAATCAATCAGTGATATTTGATTCCTGGCCCAACACCAGATATGTAATGTTGCTAAGTTACTACTAACACCTGTGCTGCATCTCATGAACTTCAGCTTGTTAACTTGAAACTGAGAATTTATCCTTGTCAGAATCTCTGACAGAGAAAGATTCTTATAGGAAAAGCTAGTAACAAGTGGGTATTTTGTGGACTTTATTTGTTTTCCAGGGCTTGAAAGACAGAGTGCCATATAGAACAACAACAATATCTATGTAAAATACTTATATTTTTTGGAAAGGAATATTCACATTTTAATCATGTGATTAAGTAAAATCTAGCTTTACACTTATAAGGTAAATAATATTAATAGGGATAGAAACATTAATAAATTCTATCACTACTTTTATTTATTTCTTCTGGAAACTCATATTAAATGCTGAGCAATAAAATTCATTATAGTTAAGACTAGACTTTTTTCAAGAATATCTCTAATTTTATGAATAGATTGCAAATATCTTTTCCATAAAACTTAAACTTCATTAAGTGTGAATTTGAGGAGGGCAGTCTTACCAACACACAGAGGAAGTTGGGTCCACATTCCACTAATACATGTAATTGATCTGTCTCCAATCATTGTAAAGGTTTCTGTACAATTGAACTCCACTGAATCCCCATGGTGATAAGGAGGGTCAGAAGGCTGGGCAAAGCCATGGTCAAGTTCAGGTATAGCTCCACATGTTCTCTCCTCCTCTATGTAAATTTCACAAATACATGTTGATAATGAAGACACAGTATGTATGTTTAAATAAATACAAAAATATTTCAGTTTAAATTTAGTATTTTTAATATATTACCAATACATTTTGGCAAGGTTGTCCACGTTCCATCAACACATTGAATTTTATTAGGTCCCTTCATCAAAAATCTAGGATTGCAATTATATTCTACTACTACATTGTGTCCATATTCTTCTTTCTTTGTTTCTTTAACTTCCCCATTGAATAGTGGAGGAGGTGGACCACATGACTGTACTTGATCTATAGTAGAAACAATGGTTAATGGTTAAATAGTCTATCTTGCACGTAAAAAAATCCAGAAAAATGGAGAGAATTCTTTTTAATTGATCATTTTTTCATATGATTAATTGTAAAATTCTTAATTAAAAATAAATTTTTACATTATATTCATATTTCCAAGTTGGATTAATTCTATTATAGTAACATTGGAAATATTTTAAAGCTTTGAATATTTTCAATGATGTAGATATTTTGAAGATACATACAAACTGTTAGCAAATGTGGTTGTGTAAATTATATTAATTTTTAATTCTATAGTAACATTTTATCATAATTTTTTGAGAAAGTATCATCAATGAGACAAGCATTTGATCAACATCTTTAACTGATTTTCTAATGTACTCCATTGAATTAACTATAAACTGTTTAAATATTGTTTAGATATACTCTATGAAACTTGAGAGAAGTCCTGTACTATATAATATGTCCAGTATTAATGGTAGCAGTGTAGGAAAAATGGAAAGTAACAAAGTAAATCTCTCTAGTCTCAGCCACCATATTTGTATGTATGAATACTCCCAATACATATTTCAAGAAATAATTGGTGATTAAATTCTTAAATAAACTAGTTGTGCTTTCTGCCACATAGCACATATCAACAACTTCATTAATTAGATTACAGATACAGTGGAAGCCAATAAAAAATTAATAGAAGAAAGAAAAAAGGTTTATATTCAATATTCTAATCATCATATTTACAACAGAAAGATAAATATTCACCTTTACATATTGGGATATCCGGGGACCATCCAAAATGGTAGCATTGTACTGAATCTGGTCCAACTCTTGTAAGTCCTGATCGGCAGGAAAATTTCAACAAATCTCCAACTTTATATTTATCTTTCTTGGGATCAGCCATTAAGAATTTTCCCATTTTGGGAATCCTGCATTCCCTTTCTAAAATAAAAAAAAAAATTTAATAAGAATATATAATTAATCATTGACAAATTACATTTTACATTGTCATTTTAAAATGAGGTAGGTGTTCAGTGATGCATATACAGGACAGTATCAGACAAATCCTCTTCCTGGAAAAAATGTTACAGATTAGTTTTATTCACTGCCTAAATTTACTCATCTAGGACTCTGAGAAATATGGTGATATTGAATGGCAATATATCTGTCCTGAAATTTAACTTGCAAATTCAACTAGTTTTCACTGAATCTGGCTTATTATTGATATTTGTAAAATTTAATGTCATATTTTTGTACCCTTAAAACACGGAATTATTCTCATATTAAATCAACCTGCTTTGTATAAATTTTAAATTGTACATTTTTAAAAAAACTGGCTTTTCTGTTTAATATAATTGAGAAAATAGATTATATTAAAAAGCATCTCTAATGTATTTGAAGTTAGAGTAACATTAAAAAATTATATAATTAATATATTACAAATAAAGAAAACAAACTAAGAAATAGTTCAAAGTCAAACTGATAGGTGTCTTGAATCCTTACATTAATATTCAATTATTTTATTATAATTTTTATTAATGATTATTAATTATTTTAATTCAAATGTGGAATACTGTATAAAATTCTCTCACATTTTTTAATTTTTTAAAAGTAGGTAACACTAGCAAATAACATTGAAAAATCATTTTTCTTATTTGGAATACCTCTTCCTTACAAATTCATAAAATTAAAGGCTGCAATTATAAAATTAGAACCATGGTAGAAAGAAAATGCATACTATCGAAATTCAAGTACCAAAACATTTATAAATTTAAATGTACAATAAAAACTATTTTTAAGAATAATGCTTCAAAAACTAAAAGTTTTTTCTGTGGGGCTGGGGATGCAGCTCATGCTTAGCAGGTGTGAGGACCTGGAATCAATCCCCAGAACCCCAATTAATTTTGTAATTCTTTTGAGTATTGCAGATTACTTGAGAAAAAAACTACACTTGAATGAGAGTCACTGGGATTCCACTCCTTGAATTATATTACAATCGTCTACATTAAAGTCATTTTGTCTTTGGAGGGGGTTTCAAGATGGCAGACTAGAGAAGCCACTCTTGTGGCTGCCCAAGGCATGAAACCAAGAAAGCAGACAGGTAGCTTCTTAGCAAGGTGGGTGTACAAAAAAATAAAACAAAAAAGGTGGGGGGAGGCTTTATTGGAATTTAATGCTGGACATTCAAGGCAGATCAGGGACTCAGAGGTTGTATAAAATAAAATAAGGAAGAAATCCCCAGCTCCACAGCCACTACCACAGCTGGAAGAACCAGCCACAGTGGTCCCTCCATGACCAAAGTGGAGTGATAAAGGAATTAAAGGAGCCCACATTTGGGGTAGACTTGAGGCTTATCTAGATATAGAAAGTTTAGAGATCAAAGACACTGCCCAACTAAACTGAATGGGGTGCTTCACAGTATGCTTGTGTGGGTAAGAAGCCACCATCTCTCCAGACTTTATGCAGAGGACAGAGGAAAGAACCATTTTGCAGCCATGGTGTGGTGGCCAGTAGCCAGGAGAGCTGATTCCTGAAAAACCCGAGTTTGTCCCAAAATACAGGCCTAGAAAACCCACACTCATGACATAAAGTGTGTCTAAGTGACCAGGAGAAAATCAAATGTGGAGAGAGGTTTACACAGAGGAGAACTGGTTGTGGAAACCCAATTGGCTTTCCCCCTCTCCCTCTAAACATGCTGCTTTCAGAACCAACTAGAAGAAACATGCCTAGCTAGGAATTCAAAAGGGTGAGGTGGGAGAGAGTGGGTTTGGAGACTGAACCCAAGACCAGGAAGCATGGAATCAACAGGTGATGTAGTGGACTTAATATTGGCTTCTCACCCACATGAGTGGAACCCAGGGGAGATCCCTGGGGTGCAGTCTTCCAACATGGATTGACGATTGCTGATCCCTGGAGGTGCATGATTTAAAGTCTCCAGACCAATTGGCATTCAGTGAAGAACCTAGAGACCCACCTAAATCTAAAGCCCGCCTTCAGGAGTTCCACCTATGGGATTACCTCTCTCTCCCCAGCAATCCCACCTAACACTGCTGAGAAGGGAAGCTAAGAATCTTTGAACTCCAGCAAACACAATTGTTAATTTTTCTTTTTTTTTTCAATAGTTAAAATAATACATCTTTATTACATACTAACAACATTATTTTTTTTTTTTTTTTTATTATTAGTTGTTCAAAACATTACAAAGCTCTTGACATATCATATTTCATACATTTGATTCAAGCAGATTATGAACTCCCATTTTTAATTCATCAAGATCTTTTTTTCCCTTTTTTTCTTTGTTAAATTGTGACCTTGAGTTATTCATGGACATTTATACATATTCATATTTGTTGTTTTTTCCTCATTTATAACATTTTTGAAACCAGTTACTTTTCATGGATCAGTATTTTGAGGACTAGGATGTTTGATTACTATATTTCAGTTTTGTTTTGTATTCTTTTAATTTTGTTTTTAATTTAAAAAATTTTTACCTTATATATGTATTTTTTCTCACTTATCTGTTTCTTTTTATTTTCTTTCTCTCTTTTCTTCTGCTAACAGCCAATCTCCATTGTCCTCCCTTCCACTCTTAAATTTTTACTTCTATCTTCTCTCTTCCTCCCTCATAATCATCATATCCCACACCACTTTTGTTCTCTCTAGTCTACTATTTGAAATTGTAAACCCTTTTGCAAACATACTGTTTTTACTGTGGGCAATAATTGATCATATAATTTCTGTTTACTGTGACATTTAGCATTGTATATGTCATAATAGGAACTGTCTGGTTTAAAGCTATATATTGTTTGCATTGGTTATTGTGATTATTTGCTCCCATTTAAACAGTGAGGTACTGGAAACCTTCAGGGACACTACAAGTTCACAAGGCAGAAACTCTGCTGCCTCAGAGCCATATTGTCCCATGGGTAGATACATAAACAACATGAAAAATCAAGGGGAACAAATAGCCCAAACAAACCAAGGTACTTCAATAACAGAATCCATCAACACCACAGTAGAAGAAATGTCAGAGAAGGAATTTAGAAAATATATAGTTAAACTGATCTGCAAAGCAAAGACAATATAAGAAGTAAAATCAGAAAGAAAATACAGGAAGTAAAAGATCATTTCAAAAAAGAGAGATTCTGAAAAAAAAATCAAGCAGAAATCCTCCAAATGAAGGAATCAATAAACCAAATTAAAAATTCAATGGAAAGCATCATGAGCATTTTAGACCACTTGGAAGACAGAGTTTCAGGCAATGAAGACAAAATATATAATCTTAAAAATAAAGTTGACTGTGGAGAAAGATGTTAAGATACCCTGAACATAACTTCCAAGAAATATGAGATAACTTGAAAATTTAAAATTTATTGGGATAGATAAAAGCTCAGAGATACAAACCAAAGGAATGCACAATCTCTTCAATGCAATATTAGAAAATTTCCCAAACTTAAAAGTTCTTTTGTGTGTGTATATTTATTTTATGTTGTTTTATATAAATTCTATATTTCATCATATTATAGAAAGCATTGCCCTTAACAAGAAAAAAATGATTCTGACTGTTGAGTACTATCAAACTGCTATATCTATACAGAGATAGTAACTAAATGTGTGATTTAAAGAGAAGTGTGAATGGACAAACCCTGGATGAGAAATACTTGTCTTTGTCTAATAGTTCAAATCATATATTTTAGTGCTGATGAACAGAAATGTTAGTATAGATATTTTTTACTCTAAGGTGTTTACTACTTTAAGATTTCTGTAAGTCTGTTTTGCTTAATTGGTTTAGGATAATAATGTAAACATCTCCCCATAGACAAGAACTCCCAGACATTTGAAATAAAGTTGTATATCTGTCAATCTGTGTGCAGTTTTATGCTACATGGCTGAGGCAAAAATACTAAGCTGTCATTTATTCACTCAATGTATGGAGACTTACATCTCCTGGAAATGTGATCATTAGTCTTCATAAAATTTGCAATAAAAAGCTACTTTGACTGAATTCGTTTCTATTGCTATATCTCTGTCACTCTTACTTTCTCTTCTCTTCTGCACATCTTCACATTTTCCATGTCTAGTGACAGTGGAAAAACAATGAGAATCATATATTCATAACTCTCATTCAGTGCTCAAGATTGAATCCAGGGCTTTGGGCTGGGTAAGCACTCCAGCACTAAGCTAATGCACCAGCCTTCTTTGAAGATGGACACTTAGTATTGTAAAAGCTTCTGGATGCACACAGCATGTATCTGCTTATAATCACATACATAAAACATACTAAAACTATTTCTATTAATTGGTTTATTATGTGCCTTAATTCATTGGATTTTGGATTGATTCTCTGATACTGCAATGAAAAATCCAGAAAGCAGAACTGAGTTTGTGGGTTTTTTTTTAAATCATTTTCCCCTAACTTATAAAAGAAATTGCTTGATATCCCAAATGGATTAAATTTTAGTGGATGCTCAATCCTGCCAATCAAGTCTCAAGGTGTGGTATCTTCTACTACCATTTAAATTTAAGCCTTTGAACATTACATGGTGTTCCTTATCCTCTTTCCCTCATGCACTATTCAGTCTCAATGCCCTTGTCTCATACTTCAAAATACAATAGAATCATCAGTTTCTGATTCTTTTCAGCATTAGATTTACACACCCATGTTCTTTACTTCCTCCTGTTACAAAATTGGATGGTCTTATTGGCAACCCTTACCAGTATTTCCAACAGGAGCCCCATATTGCCAAATCCACCACATTTTTATAGTCTTCTAATTGGACATATCAAAGAAACTACAATAATGTAATTAGATTTCCTTGGCTGCATTGCATGACAGAAATATGGCAAAAAAAGTTACATGGACTATTTAGCCTACTAACCAAAACAATCCTTTGTATACGGCCTACAAGAGGCATTAATTTAACTCACTGCTTTAAAAATAGATTATTATCTTTAATGTTGAAAATACTCCTTCCTCCCAGTTTGTTAAATCAGGAGGAACATCATGATTTCATGTTGTTCTTTAAAAATATAGGTAATTCAAATAGGTAATTCAAATTTCTAAAAAATAACACATGCCGATTTATTTTTTTATATTGAAAACAAAAAACAAAAATTTCTGAGACAGTACTTACCATAACATGTGGGTATATGTGACCATCCATTGTCCTGACATACTATGGATCCTTTGGCACGCTTGAATCTGTTTTCAAACCCAACATTACATTCATAGTCCAACTTGTCATTGAGTTTAAACAACGTGGCGTTACTTTTGGTTTTAGCATTCTCAAATGCTGGCATATCACAAGATTCTAATGCATAATAAAATTGAGGATTTTATTTCTATTGTAATTTAAATGACAATACAAGTAAATCTCACCCCAAGAACACAGACTTTATAAGTAAATATGTGATTAGAATTAAGTACTGTACAAAAATAGCCTAAGAACAATGATAAGTCATTTTTCTGAAAGTTACAATAAATTAAAAATATTCCTTCATAACCTTTTTCTGATTGCTTAAACTCTCTGAAAAGTATACTTTAAAAACTTTTTAAAATTCTATTTTATTTAAGCATTTACCTTATGCTAGTAATAAAATAGTAATAAATGCTAATAATAAAATAAATATGTATTACTTGTTTTAGAAGACTGGAATGGCATTTTGAGAATTAAGATGTCAGACTTATTAGTAGTTGTGACATAATAGAAGAAATGTGGATTGATTAACAAAATATTAATGTATTTTAAATAAGATTTTCTATTTATTAATAAGAAAGTTTCATAATGGGTTATTTATCAGAATTTAGCATATGATGAGTTTTATAAGGCAGCAATTTGTATCATTTTTAAGCTAGATGCTGTAAGCATAGAAATTGTAAAATAAGGAATAGAAATTAAGAAGTAAGAATGAATATCTTAGTCATGTCATTTAAAGTATGTTAAGTATTGCTTGCAAAATATTACTGAATAACTTTGAGTTTAATAAGATAAACAGAAATAATCATTCCTAGAAAATCTTCATTAACCTTGGGTATTATAGCAGGAAAATCTTTCAACATAGCAAAAACTGGTATCATCTTGAAACACTCCCTCCTTTCAAATGCCTAGATGTTTATGCAGATGTTTAAGGGGGGAGGTTTTTCAAAAGTAGACCTATCTTACAATGTCAAACATATAAGTTATAAAGGTTAAAATATTCTGAGGTTATATACCAAGGCTCCATATTTTCACTAAGAACATTACTTTTATGTCTGGGATCGAAGTCTTTGATATAAGAGGTTGACCACCTAAAACACAGTTATACCTAACAGTGACAAAGATCTCAGCTAAAATAAATGAGTCAGCACTAGAATACACATGAAGCTCTCTGAGTCACTTCTAAATCATAGTATTCTTTAAAATGTCTTTCAGGGGAGGAAAGATGTACTTATATTCTACCATACTAGCAATTCTGAGAAAAAAAATGATGACATATACTTTTCATCAAATGTTTTTGTTTGCTTATTAAAATGAAACATAGTCACATCAAGAAAGAATAAAGTTAAACTTTTGTATATCATCAGGATAATGATACTAATATAATAAACCTCTTACTAACACATGAGGTTGAGCTGACCATCCATCTTGGAGGCAGGTAATTGATCCCGATGTGTTACCATCTTCAGTTACATAGCCTGGTTTGCACTTATATTGTGTTACTTTATTTAGATTATATATAAAGTCAGATTCAGAAAGAAACCCATTCTTAATTTCTATATCATTTTTTGAACATGTTTCTAGAAGGGAACAGGATAAGGAAAAGACAAGCACATGTAATATAATTATATAAAGACTCTAATAATATGACAGTGCAAAAAATAATGAGCCATTTGTGTCTAAATATCTGGAATAATTATTAATCATCCAGGTTATTGTGCTACAGAAATTAAGCAATGAGTTTCCAAAGATATTAAATAAAGGTCCTTTATGAAATGTTTTCCTTTGGTAAGAAGGTTAGAATTAAACATTTATAATCCTTTCTGAGAAATTATAAGAAGTTTCAATAAAATTAATTACAATAATGTAATTCTAATTACAATAATGTAATTAGATTTCCTTGGATGCATTACATGATAGAAATATGGCAAAAAAAAAAAGTTACATGGACTATTTAGCCTACTAACCAAAACAATCCTTTGTATTCGGCCTACAAGAGGCATTAATTTAACTCTCTGCTTTAAAAATAGATTATTATCTTTAATGTTGAAAATACTCTTTCCTCCCAGTTTGTTAAATCAAAAGGAACATCATGATTTCATGTTGTTCTTTAAAAATATCTCTAGTAATTCAAATTTTTAAAAATTAAACATATGAAGATTTATTTTTTATATTGAAAACAAAAAACAAACAAATTTAGCTAAAGGATTTAGGGGATGAATGAATCCAGGATCTGACAGCATGCCATAACTCCATAGGCAATGTGTTTATTTTCCCTTAGGACTTGCTTTAAATCTGAAAATAATCTGAAAATACCCAAGCCTCATCTAGCCAATTGGGGTTCCTGAAATCAGGTAATGATCTTAAAGAATCTGTCAGCATAGTTACTACTGGCTCCAAGAATTTAAAATGTCATCATAATTGTGTGCTTAAAACATAATGGATGCATAGAGTTCAAAGAAGATGACAAAGAGCAACATATTTCTTGATGTTCTCAGGCTAAAATGATGATTCCTCAAATTACATATAACTTAACTTGAAACTAAAAGTTGACATCTGTCAGTTATTAGGTTTCTTCCCATAATAAAGCTTCATGTGTATATAGATTAAAAAGGAAACAAAAATTAAAAAAAAACATTAAATATGTTTGACTGAATGATAATAAAAACATTAAATAAAACATAAACTGACACTTAAGTAGTGCTGAAAGGGAAATTTAGCATTAAATAGCTATAATTCCATTATTAAAGAATAAAAATCAATAATTTGTTCACTTTAAGAAATTAGAAAGAAGCAAACAAAAGCCAACATGATTATCAATTCTGGGGAAATAAAATAGCAGAAATCAATTGGAAAACAAATGAGACAAAGTAAACAAGCAAGAGTGATTTTGTACAGAAATAAAACTGATGAAGACCAAGCAAGAATAATAAATGGAAACAGAGTTCCAGCCACAAATAATGAAGAAACTGAACTAATAGTCGAAATCGTTTTTGTTGCGGACTGGAATACAAGCAGCACCACCTGAGGACAATCTCAGAGATAAAACAGGAGGAGTTCTCCTGTAAACAGCAGACAGGAAGAATCCAAGCAAAAGATAGCAGTTTTGATAAACAAAGGAAACAATAATCAGTGTTTTAAAGGAGATTGAGGTCACAAGAATTTTTAGGATAGAAAACCAAAGAGGAAGAAATCATAGAGTGAAAGAACTACAAATCTGCACAGCAATCCCCTGAATACTTTAGCTGAATGCTGACATGTTGTAGGACAAAATTCCATGACACTGGGCAACAAAGAATAACTACCAGAGGGAAGAAAACCACTGGAGAATAAGGTCAAAGATTCCAGAGCACTCACACATTGGGAGAAATTCAATTTTGAATGGTAAGAGTAGAAAGAGCCTTGGACTAGATCATTTAGTAAAGTCGCCTTATTAATATTCTGAATAAACTAGTCCCGGAGTAAAAGCTCCCTGAACCAGTGTTAATAACACTAAAACAGATAAAAATGTTCAAACAAACTTAGTTTTTCAAAGCAAAATTCAAAACAGGTGATCCAGGATGGGGATGTAGCATTTGCCTAACATTTGTGAGGCCCTGGGTTCAATCCCCAGTACTGCAAAGAATAAAAACAAAAACCAGGTAACTGTCCACGTCTCCAACCCCAAACACCAAGAAGTAATGACAAAGAAAAGCCTGTTTCTTCAGTCAGAAGATAGAAGGAAAGTGAAAGAAAAAACAGTTTTGTCAATATCTACCTCCCATCCCACATACACACAAAACTATTTGGGTAATGTTCACTCTTCTCCATCCAAACATCAATGTACAAACCGTATCAAAATTCTGGAGTGCCACTGAAGCATTATGGAATGAATTGATGACACTAAATATCTGTACAGAAAGGATTAGGGTTCCACATCAATTACTTTAGCCTGGGGTGGGTGGGGGGCTGGAGTTGTGGCTCAGTGGTAACGTGCTTGCCTCACAAGCATGATGATTGGGTTCGATTCTCAGCACCACATACAAATAAATAAAATAAAGGTCCATCAATAACTAAAAAATATTTTCTAAAAAATTACTTTAGCCTCTATCTTAATACATTAGCAAAAGAAGAAAAAATTGAATATGAAGTGTGCAGACAAAAGGAAAAAACAAAGATTTGAACTAAAATAATAAAGCAGAAAAAAGAAATATTACATATAATATAGAATATATACACATTACATATTATGTTTTATACACACACTATATATTAATACATGATATATTTAATATATAACATATACACATAATATATATTTATTATATGTAATTTACATGATATATAGAATATACACATACATATACACATACACACACATAAAAATTAGAAGCTGTTATTTTAGAAGGTCCCTAAAATTGATTAAACTTTTAAACAGATTTGTCAGGAAATAACAAAAGAAATAAAACAGAGAATATGCAAGTTGCCAATAATAGCAATGCTAGTAATGGCCTCACTAATTTTTATGTATATTAAAAGAACACAAAAGGAATATTTTGATTTAGGTCAATGAATATAACAACTTAGGTGAATTAATTAAGTCATTGAAAGCCACAGACTACCACAGCTCACTCAAGAAAAAATAATGACATTAAAAATATGAGTTATATATCTAACAAAATACAGATAGGATCTTTATGCTGAAACCACAAAACCAAGGTGTAAGGTTTCAAAGAAGGTATAACTAAATACAGATATATATTTATGAATTGAAACCCAATAATATTATATTGATAACCTATATATATGCATATATGTATTACATATACATATATATATATATATGTATATATATATATATACACACACATACATTGTATTATGTATATCTCAATCTCAATAAAGAACCAAGCAGTATTTCATGTTTCTTTTTTTAGGGGGTGGGTACCAGTGATTGAACTCAAGAGTATTCAACCACTGAACCACATCCCTCAGCCCTTTTTTATATTTTATTTAGAGACTGGATCTCACTGAATTACTTAGCACCTTGCTGTTGCTGAGGCTGGCTTTGAACTTGGAATCCTCCTGCCTCAGCCTCCTAAGCCACTGGGATTATAGGCATGAACCACTGTGCCTGTCAATATTTCTGAAAAAGCTGGTTCTAAAAGTTACATGAAAAGGCAAAGAGACTACAATATCAATACAATTCTTAAAAATGTTTGAGGAAATAGATGTGTTTAATCTAATTTAAATACGTATGGAAGTCTCACATTACCCCACTAATATGCACAATTTCTATGCTTTTATGTCTAAAAATTTTAAAAAGGAAAAAAGAAGGTAGAGGACTTATAAAGAATATTTTGTCTTATATAATGCAATAGTAATTAAAACAGTCAGTGATGTTGTGAAATTATAGAGTAATGAAAGAGAAGGTATAGTCCAGAACTGGATTTATATCATGGTCAATTGCTATTTAACAAAGGATCGAAAGCAAAATCAAATCAGTGGAGGAAACATTGTCTTTTCAACAAATGTTACTGGAACAATCAGGCATTCAAAAGGACAATAACAAGTCTCCACATAAGCTCATACAAAAATTAACTCAAAAATTGAATCATCTACTAAAGGTAAAATGTGAACTTTGACAAAAGTATATGACCTTGGTTTCAGCAAAGAGATTGTGAATTGTACTCACAAAAAGACATGTTCCACAAATGAAAATTTTGATACTTTGAATGAAATTAAATATTAAACACTTTGCTCTATGAACTACACAGTTAACAAAGTGAACAACAAAGCTACAGATGGGACTAAAATATTTGCAGCATGTCTACCCAATAAAAGGGTATCCAGAATATATTAAGCAGTTTCAACATTTAGTAATAAAAAAACAACCCAAAGAAAAGTAGGCAAAAGCTTTTCAGAGTCTTCACCAAAGATGTGTAGATAGCAATTAAACATGGTAAAAGAAACAGCAGCATTAAAACAAATGCCGAATGTTTTCTCTAATATAAGGAGGCTGATTCATAGTGGGGTAGGGAGGGGGAGCATGGGAAGAATAGATGAACTCTAGATAGGGCAGAGGGGTAGGAGGGGAAGGGACAGGGCAGGGAGTTAGCAAGGATGGTGGGATGTGATAGACATCATTATCCAAAGTACATGTATGAAGACACAAATTGGTGTCAACATACTTTATATACAACCAGAGATATGAAAAATTGTGCTAAATATGTGTAATAAGAATTGTAATGCATTCTGCTGTCAATTTTTTAAAAAATCAATTAAAAATAATAATTAAATGACTTTGACTTTGAAACTGAAAAAAAAAGAGAGATACCACCACATATGAGTTAAAATGGACAATTTAATGGGAAACAAATCACTATTTCAAAGGGTGAAAAAGTAATATCTTCAAAAGCATCAGACAAAATAGCACTAATAATTCATATCAAGTCATCAAAAAATGGTATTCTGTGATCCATTTGGCTAATTTTTATTATATTCAGTGACGATTTTAAAGGAAACTATGGACAAATAATACTTATGTAGAACATACTAATTTGTCTACTGCACTCAACTATATTTTAATTAATCTGCTTAT